GACACATAGTTCAATGTAAGAAGTAAGAGTTGCTTTTAAAAGTCCCAGTTGTTTTAGTTTTGATGACCATACCCTTCCACCAGCTGGAAACACAATGCTTCCCTAACACTAACTGTGCCCACTATCCAAACTGTGTCCTGACCACTTAAGATCCATTGACACAGCTTCTAACAAGTGAGAAATAGTTTCAGATCCCAACCATGCAGTACCATTTTGTATTCACTGCAGTCAGTCCAGCTTCAAGAGCTCCTTAAGTGTTCTTGTACACTGCTACACTACATCCCACTATTAAAAAGTTTATTTTTTAGTTCAAGAAATTTCAAAAGCAGGCCTTTTTTTTATAATCCAAAAAAAAAATAAAATAATTTTTCCCTCTTCTTCATCTCCAGAGATGTTGCATCAAGTTATGCCTTTGCAGAAAACTGGCACTGAAATATTTACCTTGTGAGAAAAGCCAACTCAAGGGCTAGTGTTCTTGTCATTTCCCATATAGTTCTCACTCAGGGTACTGCTACTGGCCTCTAGGGTGTCTCTGTGTTACCTCTCTCCTATGGGCCCAGCCAGCCATATCAGTTCATGGGAAGCCTCATACTTTACCAAGGACGCTCAGTTGTACTGAATATTATCTTAGTTGTACTCAAAATGCAAAGCCATTGGCTGATTGGCTAATAAATGGGAAGGGTGGAGAAAATAATCATTGTTCATGTTCTTCTCCTAAACAGAGAAGTAACCAAAGCTTTGAGCACCTAGGAATCTGCTCCAGATTCACTCTCAGAAACTTTCACACCTTGCCTGTTTCTACTTTGGATTCCACTGAATGGAGATTCTGCAGTTACAGCATGAAAGGAATCCAGTTGATTCTACTACACATCTCATTTATTTTTTTTTTCCACACTTATCAGTTGCAACTCACTGTCTATGTAAACAGGGTTGGTTTTTCATTGTCTATGAATCATGTCCTATGCACTGAAGTAATGCAAATTGAAGGCAGATAACATAGTCAACAATCAGTCACTCACAGAAAAAGTCTTAGAGATGGGCTTTGTTGAGAGGGAAAAGAAACACTTCTAATCTCTAAACATTTCCTTGGTATGTGGGACATAATTCTATGTCATACTATGTCAGAAGGGGAGTTTCTAGAGAACCTTTAGCAGAGTCCCATGAGGGACTCTGGTTAGATATCAACTGTGGAGCTATATTTCTCAAAGTTTAACTTGGGGTATGCAGTGAAGCCATGCCAAGTACCAGTTGGAGAAAGCCTGGGAGCAGAGAGAAGTGATTCTGGTTTACCCCAGTTGGAAACCCCATGTTCTGATGGCTGAAGGAGGAATTAATTGCAATCATGACCCCTGGATTAGCAGGAACCACAGAAACAAGGGGGAAGAGGGCATGTATCTGTACAGGCCTGTGATGACACCCAGGCTCCCACAGCTCCATGTGTCCTTTCTATTCACATCCTTCCTTGAGAACTACTCCCATTGCCTTCCTCTGCTGTGAACAGCAACTTTCCCAGAGTATTTAAGTCTCTTTTACCTTTGTGAAGCAGCATGATTACTCTATTGAGTTTCCCTGTTTTGTCAGTACCTTACTCAAGAACTACACTCCCAACACTGTTGGTGGAGTGGGTTACCAGTTACATTTCTATGACCCAGTCTGGGAAATCAGATGCTTTATCCTGGGAATGTGTAGACTGTGGGCTCCATTGAGCACTAGATAGAAAATATTCAGAAATGCCTTGAGAGGGAGGGTATAGATGCAACTTTAAGGCGAGACTTGGTGACTAATGTTGGCTTTAGGTTCGTCAAAGCTCTAAATTTATAGCCTTACTGAGTTGGAGGAAGGGAAATGATGGGGGATATCCTTCTGTGTGCTGTGACTATAAGTTTCTCTTACAGGTTAATGAGTAAAGCTGTTTCGGCCAATGGACAGGCAAGATGTAGCCAGGCAGGAAGTATAGATGGGGCTATCAGACTAGAAGAGTTCAGGGAAGAGGAACTCAGAGATGCCATGTAGCTGCTAAGGAAGAAAGTCGCCCTGATATTCTCTGGTAAGTGAAAACCACATGGAAATACATATTAATAGAAATGGGTTAATAATTAAGAGAGAGCTAGCCAATAAGAAGCCTGAGCCATCAGTCAAGCAGTTTATAATTAATATAAGCCTCTGTGTGTTTATTTGGGACTGGGTGGGACAGAAACTTCTCTTCACAGACAAAGGTGGACTCTGGTCATTACAGGATGTCATACACTATTGCACTGCCCTGGGGAAAGGGTACAGCAAGCTTAATCACCAACCATGCTGGCATAAATCTTTTCTGGTCTGATGTACTTGTCTGTACAAAGGCTAAGCATTGGGAGAGGAAGATGAATACACACTGAGTACCTTAGTATAGGATTATTTATCTATATTATAATTATATAAATATATGTATTGCAATAATATAAGTGGGGCTATTATTACATCCTATGAATCAATATAAAAATTTCACTATATATTCTAATTGGGTTATCTGTCTTTATTATTTCAGAAAAATAAGCATAATTCTATCAAATGGCATCTGCATCTGGTTTCTTATAATTCCAAATTTTAATCCAGACATTATATAGCACTTCATAGGGAAGCCATGTAAGACAAAGAACTATTGCTTGTTAATCTCCTGAAACTCTGGATGCAGGTCAACCTGTCAGGAGGGTGAGAAAGGGGTGAGGATGTGATCAGATCAATACTATATTATCTCATATGCACAGATGAAGATGCTATGATAAGGGAGCCCTTAGCACTCTGTCACTCCTGCAGTGCCAGGGAAGGGACATTCTTACCTCCAAGTCCCAGGAAAATTGCTCTGGGGAGTTTACATAGCTCTGGGATGATGACATTATGAAGAGTAAAGGGAGAGTTGTTGGCTGACCTTGGGGCGTGCAGAGAAGCCATGCCAAGTCCCTGAGAGAGAAATGGATTTTTGAACTCATTGGTTCTGAAGACTCCATCTACTTTCTGCTTTGGCAACATCAGGGTGTGTTGGAGAAAGGAAGTAGAACTTAAATCTTTATACCCAAGCCAGGTGGTGGTGGCATACATCTTTAATCCCAGCATTTGGGAAGCAGAGGCAGATGGATCTTTGGGTTCAAGCCCAGCCTAATCTACAGAGTGAGTTCCAGGACAGCCAGGGCTACACATAGAAACCATGTCTTGAACATAAACACAAACAAAAAATCTGTACATCCATATCCATTCAAGTATTGAGTGAGCCACACTCTCAACCTGGGATAATGCTCACTGGGGCTCCTGGCTGCCACTATGAAATACGTCATGGTTAATATTCCTTATGTTACCAAGTCCCATGAAGACAGCAGCTCATCAGAATGTATGACACACAATAAAGAGAACTTTACTAAGCATAGTTAGGTGCCAGCCATGGAGCTGCATTCCCACAGATTAACTTGATCTGGGCTGGGGATATAGCTCAGTGTGGACAGTGCTTGCTCAGAAGTTAAAATACCTAGGTTCAATCCCCAGCATTGTGTAAATTGTTGTAATGTCTGCCTACAGTATAAGTACCTATGTGGTACAAGGGGATTAAAAGTTCAAGGTCATCCTTGACTGCATAACAAGCTCAAGGCTAACCTTGGCTACCTGAAAACCCACCTCAACCCTCCTACCCCTTAAAAACATTAATCTTTACAATGACCCTTAGAGACAGGCAGTTATGGCAACTTTAAAGATGAGAAAAATCAAAGGTGAAGAACAATCAAGCAGCACGTGGCTGCACAGCAGTGTGAATCTAGGTCCAGCCCGCTCCAGCACACATCCTTCCCAGACCCGCCTGCGACCGCCTCCCATACAGTGGCTGACAAAGCACAGTCCACCTCCCACCTGCTTTAATCTCATCTGGTACCATTGCCCTAATTTTGCCAGCTGCATGTTTATTTTTAAAAGAGAAGGCAGTATTCCCCCTCTGGAGATGGATCTAGAGTTCAAGATATGACTTCAAAGACAGGCAAGAGGCTACAGAGAAGGAGCAGACTCACTTGCTTTTCATATCAGGGACATAGGCATTTCATTTCCTTAGTTCCACTGCAATCATTGAGAAACTACCATTGTATTTGCTGAAGTAATTCCAGCCACTGTACAAATGATTCCCAAGTTCCATTACTTTAACCCTCAAGATGTTTCTCACTTACATAACTGTTAAACACAGACTTGCAAAGAGCTGGGAGCTAAAGGTTTAAGGAGCACCTCCCAGGGACCTAAGTTGCATAATGTTCATCCCTCTGAAGTGGAAGATACCTCCATGGTACCTCCTATCCCACACCTGGCATGCCACACCCCTTCAAGGGTAAATCTGCCAAGGCCATGGAGAAAATTCAAGGCCCCTGTGTACCTTTCTCCTTTCCGAGTACCTGTCACAGAGCTTTAACACTTCTGACCACAAAGGAGAATTGAAGTCAGAAGTGACTTCTAAGGGTACAGGAGGTAGATTACAGTGGGTCTCATTGCCACTCACCAGTGGCATCCATGGGCAATTTACTAAGCTGAGGAAATGAGGCATAGTTCCCCTGGCTCTTTCTCAAGTGGCTTGCAGGTCTTAATGTCTCCCATAGGGATTAATTTTGATGCCAGAAAAGAGAGGATTAGCTTCTATAGCTCAGGAGCAGAGACACACTCAGGGCCTGTAAATTAGGGGATCCTAGATCTATCACTGAATATAACTAGTACCCTTTGTGCTTGGAGTCTCCTTTAAGCACCATTCCCTCAAAGGAGGCAACTCCTTGTCTGCAGGCCTGGAATGGAGCCTCTCTTCCTCTCCATGTGCCTGCATGTTTCCTCCACCACAAGAGCAGAGGTACCCACATTGGACAGTGCTCTCTTTTGCTCTCAGGGTGTCTATGTGGGAAGAAGCTGACTAAACTAGGAGAACAGAGGAAAGTTCTCTGCCTGGAACCCACATGCCCCTGGTCAATTACCTCTACTTGCTTTCTGGTGTCCCAACCCCAGGAGCTCTAGTCTTCTGCAAGCTCAATGAGCATCTCTTCTATATGATCTGGTAGCTCATTCTTTGGGGACAAAGCTTATGGCTACCACAGTTTAATGACTCACACTCCATTCCCTTTCTTGGGACTCTGAGTGGCTCCGAGTCTGACAACCTGAAAACCATTTCTAGGGCCCACCTGGTAGAAGGAGCAAACCAACTCCCAAAAACTGCTCTCTGGTCTCCACACTTTTGCCTTTGCATGTACACCGCTGATAAGTAAATGGACAAATAAATTTCTTTTTAAAAGGCTTTTGTGTTGCAGTGTCTATAAGGGCTAAAAAAAGAAAGTGGCCTCTCACTTACACTGGTGTTTCATGTGTCTACATCATATGTGATCCTCACACATGCTGCTCAGTCAAAATTAGCTTTGGGAGAATGCCCAAATAAATGAGTCAATAAGCAAAGGGAAACAGAAGAACAAATGAGAGGTTACAGGGAAGGCAGTGGATGAGGAAAGCAGCAGGATGATGTCCAGTACACATTCTTTGAAAATAAAAACCTACTTCTTAGTTAGGCACATAATAAAAAGAATATATTGATTACCCTTCCTCTGAAACTGGACATGTCCAAAGCCCCTTGACAAAATCGCACACAAGAAGCAATACCTTGGGAGACCTCAAAGAGAAGCTGAAAGAAACACTGTGTGTTCTTTTGACTCTTGCCTTGTTCCACATTTTTGTGGCACAAAAGATATAATGTGTTTGAGTTTGGCAGCCACATTGCATTAACTTCTAGAATAGTTAAGGAGAAAGATGGGAGAAGTCTAAGCTTCTGTTGACCATGGTGCTATACCCCACACTGTCTCTTTTTGAACCTGCTGTATGTAAAGAAGAGAGACATTTCCTTTCCACAAGTTGTTTTCTGCTTTGTTATTTTTATTAAATAAACATGAACCTGATGCTAACCAACATAAGACTCACACACTAGGGCCAGAGGCAGTCCTAAAACTCAGAGTTCCCTCTCTGTCTCATTCAGATGCCCTCTGAGTGCCAGCCCAAAGCTGTAGCATGGAGTCAGAGAATCCTGGTCCCTTTAAAAGATAATAAAAATGAGCAAGGACCTCTGATCCAAACATCCTACACTGGTGGAAAGAATATGCTGGACCTCAGATTTTACGCAAGTCCCAATAGTCCTGGAAAATGTCACTAGGGCCAGTGCTGGTGTCAGAAGAGCCTGGCACATTCATGCTGTTAACAGCTTTGTATTTCAGCAGCATAGCATGTAATCCACAGAATGGAACATGTGATAGGTCTTACCTCCATCAGAGAGTGCCAGTGTGCAATGGGCTTCCGAGGATATGACAGCATCTCACTCCAGTGGTCTCTGCCCAGCCGCTCAGCCTCGTTGCCTACTTGACACACGCCAATGACCTCATTGTGACCTACACTGTGAAAATGGGCCACAATAGTTTTTTCTTAAAATTTTGGTATGCAGAAGCAAAAGCAACAACTCAAATGAATGGAGGAGATTCAGAAGTAGTGGACTACCTTTTTTTTTTTTTTTAAATAATTCTCTCATTTAAAACTACAGGTAGAAAGACCTAGGGTTCAGTACAGTATCCAATTTTCTATCACCGACATGGGTTCATTCGGTCCTGAGAACCTTTGTCCAAAGAACTCCCTTATGTGTGCTAATAGTATCACATTAGGTTCTGGAGGCTAACCCGGCTTCCAGATATAAGGAAGCCCTTAGGAATGGAAAGGAAGGATTTTGTGATTTAACACCCACTCAAATTTCCACAAGAGGCAACCAAGCATGGCCAGGTGGAGCCCAGAGAGGAGAGCTACTGTCTTCTTGTTCCATTCTTCATTAGAGACCACCCCCATCATCCTTTGCATATCTTTCTTTCTGAACTCCGCTTTGGTTCTTTGAGCCAACTTGAGTTCTCAACTGTGAAAGGCACCCAGCTACTTCAACTTAGGGCTAACAGCCTGAAACTTTTTGTGAGTAGGTCTTGCTTTGTGTCATTTAACTTTTCCCTTAACAACAACAATAATAAATAGTTCTTTGAAATAATTATAAATATATGGCCCATTTGTTGACTCTTTGAGATGAGTTCTTTTTTCCTCCCAGAAAAGATGAGTGGTTTCTATTCTGTTTGTGTGGAGAGAAGTAGAAGGGATGGGAATGGAGTGTTTGGGATTCAAGTCTCTGCTCATTAAAATCAAATGCATGCAGAGACCCTGTGGATACTGCCATGGATTTTTCCAGGCCAGATTCATGAGTTTACTGATAATTAAATTGAGGCAGAGATCATATAATCAGATTTGTTGATGTAGGAACCTTGGCAATTGCTTTGGAAGTGCTAGTCTAGCCTTCCACAGCCGGTGGGCAGCATCCCCTCCTGGGAGCTGGCACTATGGTGTTGTGTGTGTCCAGAGAAGACAGGACAAGGTCTATGCCCAGGATTGGCTGTTACACTCATGGGCAACTGTGTCAGAAGACAAGACATGCTTTGTGTAGGGATCTATTGGAAAAGCACTGAGGTCACTGGCAACACTGTGCTAACATTTCAGAGGAAGATAGAAAAAATTTTTTAGGTGCAAACAATATTTGAGAGATATTAGAAGCCAGACTGTTTTTTTTTTCTTTTATAATTGTGCCCAGACCACGTGGGAGGTTTCTAATTAAAAAGAGACTTTGCATTTCAGTCTAATGACTGGTTTAACATGTATAATTCCCTGTTGGTACTTCCTTTGCATATTAAAATGACTGTTTTTCAAATCTGTCCTTTAAATACACAATTGGCTACAATGCAGGCTATAAATATCTTCTCTGTGCTGTATTAATTAAAAAGTCTAGCATCTTATACATTTTAATGTACCCTGTCATCTATACTGATCCTAGCATTTTCAAGAGAACATTTCTGTGTTTGCTTTCAGACTTAAGTGGATAGAAATGATCTTTATTAAACACAGTGCAAGAAGGAAAAAAGATTGAAGTTATATATTTAGAAACATTCATGGCGTAGCTAAAGTAATCATCTGTGTTTTGGATAGAAGCTTTCCACTAAAGGAGTCAGGCTGCTCAATGGAAAACAAGACCAGTGGGGCCATAGTTTGAAACACAGAGATACCAGGAAATGTACAGAAGTGGGAATGGAAAGACATAGGATGTGGGAGGGTGGAGGAGAAGAAAGATAAGAAAAGGGGAAGGAGAGATGAAGATATTAGAAGTACTGCAGTGAGAGGACTCTATAGTATGGCTTGGGCGATGTGACTCCCTGTCAGCTTGTCTTCCACGTGCTTCCCCTTTGTTCACTGTGTGTCAGATGAGCATATGGCTGCTCCTCAATCTGCCCACCCTGTCCAGAAATCAGCAAGAGAGAGAGAGAAATCAGAGAGAGAGAGAGAGAGAGAGAGAGAGAGAGAGAGAGAGAGAGCGCTCATGGCATCTCACCGGTCATAGTCCATGACAGCTATGGACAGGTGAATCTGGTCGATGCTTTCAGGAGGGACATCAAAGACTATGGCTTCATTGTAAACGGGATTAAGCGTGTTCCTCTTGGTGGATGTTTTCCTTTTTTTCAGTCGCCGGCCATCACACATTAGTGAGACTTTCACGTAGGGATCTGCACAGGCACGAGAACAGGGTACTGTGAGGACAAATGCAGATGCTGGGGGTGTATGACCAATGGAGGAAGACATCCTTCCTCTGTCTGGAGATTAGAGTTTGAGGACTTTAATTCATGTGATATGTGATGTGGGCAGCGACTGCTTAGAATAATTAAGTTATTCATTCAACAAAAAGCACAGGACACTGTCTCCTCAAAATTCATGAAATTTAAAAATAGAGTGAAAACATCTGTTGCCAAATTAGAAAATATTCCAACCAAAATTCAGGACCCGTCTATGAAAGGAAAAGAAATAGACATTTCACAGGAGTGGGAGACAGGGCTCAGCACCCGACTCTGGGCCACCCATGGAGACTAGGCCCATAAGGAAAGGATGCCTCTAGCTCTATGTGCTCTGAATTTCTGGAGAATGGGCAGTCTGTAGGTGGATGGATGGCCTTAAGTACTGGAAGCTCCTGGAAGTGTTTGCAAAGGGAGAAGCTGTTCATTAATTAGCAAGAGAAAAGACAGGGGACTGTCACAGCTTAACCATGAGAGAGGGACAGGTCACCAGGCTGATTGTGCTCTGAAGGGGGCACTTCTGGTCCCTCTAGCCCCTCACTACCATGCAGCTCAAAAGGCAGTCCTGTATCTCTCTATCTCACCACATTCATCCTCATTCCTCATCCCTTCCTGAAGGTACTTTAATCCAGAGGAGCTGTACCCTGTTGTTGTTGTTGCTGTTGCTTTGTTTTTCTTGCTTAGAAACAGCCTGGAGTGTGAAACATAGAATATATCAACATCTTGAAGTAAATATCAGTTAGTAACAACCTGGCCAAGTAAGGATAAGACTTGAGTTAAATCCTATCTTCCATTAATACATCTGGACATTCTGGGTAACATGCACTTGTAATCCCAGTGCAAGGGAAGTGGAGACAAGAGGAACTCTGGTGTTTGCTGTCCAGTCACAGTGAGCTTAGGTGTCAATGAGAGACCTCTTAAAAAATCAAAGTCAAAGGGAGCCTCCTGAGGCCTGTGCACTCACAGGGGAGACCGTCTAGGTGGACTGGCCTACCAGTCCTGCATCTACCCAAGGAGAGAGTCCACCTTCCAGTGCCCTTCTCAGAGCCTCCAGAGGACTGGGAACTGTGCACAGGGTAACCTGTCCCAGCAGACCAGACCATCCACAGTCTGCCAGCGCCCTAGTCCCACCTCCACCAACGGGACAAGGAGAGCCATCAGAGTATTGTATCTGCTTACACCTACTGAAAAAGAACCTTGGTCTCATACTCACTAGGAGAGGGAGAGACCCCACTAGTATGCACTGGAAGAAGGGATGGGTAGAGGACAGTATAAGAACACAGTCAATAACAGAAAGATCAATATGACATCTCCAGAGTCTAGTGACTCCACATCAGCAAAATGAACATGCCAACACAGATGAAGCAGAAGAGAACAACCCTAATAACAACTTCATGAAGATGACAGAGACCCTAAAAGAGGAAATGAAAAAACAATCTTTTAAAGTAATGGAAGAAAAAACAAACCTAAAATTGCAAGAAATCAACAAATATCTTAAAGACAGCAAGCAAAGCCAAGAAAAAACAACCAAACAGATGAAGGAAACAACTCAAACAGTTCATGACCTAAAAACTGAAATAGAGACAATAAAGAAAAGACAAACTGAAGGAATGCTGGAATAGAAAAGCTGGGTAAATGATCAGGAACTACAGATGCAAGCATAACCAATAGAATACAAGAAATGGAAAAGAGAATTTCAGGTGATGAATATACACTAGGAAAAATAGATTCATTGACCAAAGAAAATCTTAAGTTCAACAAATCCTTAACACAAAATATCCAGGGTCAAGGAAGAAATAAAGAAAGAAATTAAAGATTTCCTAGAATTCAACAAGAATGAAGACACAACATACCCAAACTTATGGGACACTTTGAAAGCAATGCTACAAGGAAAGTTCATTGCACTAAGTGCTCATATGAAGAAAACGGAGGATAGTTACATTAGAGAACAGCACAACTAGAACAAAAAGAAGCAAACTCACCTGAGAGGAATAGATGCCAGGAAATAATCAAATTGAGGGCTGAAATCAATAAAGTAGAAACTAGGACAGCAATGCAAAGAATCAATGTAACAAAGAGTTGGTTCTTTGAGAAAAATCAACAAAATAGATAAACCTTTATCCAAACTAACCAAAATGCAGAGAGAGAACAAGCAAATTAAGAAGATCAGAAATGAAAAGGGAGACATAACATCAGACACTGAGGAAATCTAGAGAATCTTCAAGTCATACTTTGAAGACCTGTACTCCATAAAATTTGAAAATTCATTGGAAATGGACAATTTTCTGGATAGATATCACTTACCAAACTTAAATCAAGAACAGATAAGCAATTTAAATAGACCTATAATGCCCAATGAAATAGAAGCAGTCATCAAAAGTCTCCCAGAATTCAAAGCAGAATTCTACCAGAAATTCAAAGAACAGGTAATACAATATCCCTCATGAACATTGATGCAAAAATACTCAATAAAATACTGGCAAATAGAATCCAATAATATATCAGAGAAATTATCCACCATCTCCCTTAGGCTTCATCCTGGAGATGCAGGGATGGTTCAATATACGAAAATCCATCAATTTAACCCACCATATAAACAAACCAAGAAAAACCACATGACCATATCACTAGATGCTGAAAAAGCCTTTGACAAAATCCAACACCCCTTCATAATTAAGGTATGGGAGAGATCAGGAATAACAGGAACCTAATAAACATTAGAAAAACAATATAAAGCAAACCAACAGGCAACATAATGCCTCTAATATCAGGAAAATGACAAGGCTGTCCACTCCCTCCATATCTCTTCAATATTGTACTTGAAGTTCTAGCTAGAGCAATAAGAAAAAAAAGGAGATAAAATACAAATTGGAAAGGAAAAAGTCAAACTGTCACTATTTGCAGATGATATGATAGTTTACATGAGTGACCCAAAAAACTCTACCAGGGAACTAATACAGCTGATAAACACCTTCATCAGAGTGGCAGGACACAAGATTAGATTAAAAAAAAAAAAATCACTAGTCCTACTCTCTCCTCTCTCTCTCTCTCTCTCTCTCTCTCTCTCTCTCTCTCTCTCTCTCACACACACACACACACACACACACACACATATATATATATATTAATTAAAGGGGCTGAGAAAGAAATCAGAGAAACATCACCTTTTAAAATAGCCACAACAACATAAAATATCTTGGGATAATGCTAACCAAACAAGTGAAAGACCTATATAGTAAGAACTTCGAATCTTTAAAGAAAGAAACTAAATAAGATACCAGAAAATGGAAAGATCTCCCATGTTCATGGATAGGTAGGATCAACATAGTAAAAATGGCAATCCTGCAAACAGCAATCCCCATCAAGATCCCAGCACAATTCTTCACTGACCTTGAAAGAACAATACTCAGCTTTATATGGAAAAACAAAGAACCACAATAACCAAAACAACTCTGGACAATAAAGTAACTTCCAAACCATCCTGAATGAGGTAACCCAGTCAGAAAAAGAGGAACATAGTATGTACTCACTCATATATGGATTTTAGACCTAGAGCAAAGGATCACCAGTCTATAATTCACACCACCAGAGGAACTAGGATACAAGGTGTATTCTAAGAGATTGATATAAAGTCCCTCACAGAACCGGGAAGGGACAAGTCCCCCAGAGCACAGGGGAAGTGGGGGGGGCAGTGAATGGAGAGAGAAGTAGGAGAAAACGAGGGGGAGGAAAGGAAAACATGTGCCACTAGGAAGATTGAGCCCGGTTAGGAATAGAAGACAGGAGAGAGAGAGAGAGAGAGAGAGAGAGAGAGAGAGAGAGAGGGAGAGGGAGAGGGAGAGGGAGAGGGAGAGGGAGAGGGAGAGGGAGAGGGAGAGGGAGAGGGAGAGGGAGAGGGAGAGGGAGAGAGGGGAGAGGGAGAGGGAGAGGGAGAGGGAGAGGGAGAGGGAGAGGGAGGGAGGGAGGGAGGGAGGGAGGGAGGGAGGGAGAGAGAGAACATAAAAGAGGGAGCCAATACTGGTTTGAAGATAAACCTGAACATAAAGAAAGGTCTAGAGAACTACAAGACTGCCACCAACTAACAATTTGAGCATCCGTGGAAAGGCTACCATAAATGCCCTTCCTGGAGAGTGAGATCAACAACTAACTTATCCATGGAGCCCTCAACTAATATCTGTTGGAAACAGGAGCAAACACCCATACATAAACACTGAGTCGAACTAGAACCCAGATGCAGATGGAGAGGACAAGACCAGGCAGCAGAAACACATACAGACAGCTTACCTGAACAAGGAGGAGCTAACGGGCCACCAGACTGATAGCTGGGATGCCTGCATGGGACTGACTCAGGCCCCCCTGAATATGGGTCTCAGCCAGAAGGACTGAGCAGTCTAAGGGACCTCAGACAGTGGAGCCAGGATGTATCCCTGGTGCTCAAAAGGACTTTGCGAACACATCCACCATGGAGGGATAACTGCCTTAATCTATAGACAGGAGAGAAGCCCTAGTCCCTACTTCACTGACCTGTCAGATCTACATGACCCCAACTGGATGGCATTCCCCTACATATGGAATTGGGGTGGGGAGGGGAGGGTGGTTAGAGTGCTTGTGAGAGGGCAGAGAGGGTAAAAGGGAGGGAAGGAGGGAGAGATTGAGGGAGGGAGGGATACAGGGAGGGAGGGAGGAGGATGGGAGGGAGAGGGAACTGGGATTGACATGTAAAATAATAAATTAAATAAAAAAATGCTTTGACTCCAAAATTTAAGTTCAAGGACAAGTTACTAGGGAAAAGGATTTCTATTTTTGTTTCCATAGAAAATGAAAAGCTGTGGATTCCTTCCAGAATAATGTGGTTTGATCACGCCAGACCGCCTGAAACAGAGTACCAGGTGATCCTACATTCAAAACAGCTGGACAAAGCAGCCTTACAGACTACAGCCAGGATTTCTGCATCTTCTTTGAATCCCCCATGACAGCGCCCCTTACCAGCAGGAAGTAGTTTGGAAAGAACGACACCCATATTCCCAAATATTGTCTATAAATGTTTGTTTTCATTTAAATGGACTTGGTTATATAAAATAAATAAATAAAAAAGAAAAGAAAAATTCTCTGGGGGGGAAGATATTTTTATATGTATACACACACACACACACACACACACACACACACACACACACATATATGTAAGCAAAGAAAGAAATCAAAAATACCATCCCTTAAATAATTACTTGAGCTGGTTAAAATATAAAACAAACAAGCCTAAATGAGAAAAAGTATTCAGGGATCAGGAAAAAATAAAACGAAAATAAAAATATAAATGTTGAAATAAAAATTGAATAAAATAACTTCCGGAGGTATCACCATCCCTGACTTCAAGGTCTATTACAGAGCTATAGCCCTAAAAACAGCTTGGTATTGGCGCAAAAAACAAACAAACAAACAAACAAATAAAAAACCCCAGGAAGACCAATGCAATCAAACTGAAAACCCTGATATTATCCACACACCTACAAACACCTGTTTTTTGACAATGAAACTAAAATTATACAATGGAAAAAAGAAAGCATTTTCAACAAATGTTGCTGGCATAATGGATGACGGTATGTAGAAGACTGCAGATAATCCCTATCTATCGCCATGCACAAAACTTAAGTCCACATGGATCAAAGACCGCAACATAAATCCAGCCACACTGAACCTCTCAGGAGAGAAAGTGGGAGGTACCCTTGAATGAATTGGCACATGAGACCACTTCCAGAACATAATACCAATAGCACAGACACTTAGATCAACAATTAATAAATGGGACCTCCTGAAATTGAAAAGTTTCTGTAAGGCAAAGAATACAGTCAACAAGACAAAATGGTAGTTCACAGAATGGGAAAAGATATTCACCAACCCTACATCTGGCAGAAGGCTGATTTCTAAAATATACAAAGAACTCAAGAAGCTAGTTACCAAAAAACCAAATAATCCAATTAAAAAGTGGGTACAGAACTAAATAGAGAATTCTCAATAGAAGAATCTAAAAGGGCTGAAAGAACTTAAGGTGCTTAACATCCTTAGCCATCAGAGAAATTCAAATCAAAACAACTCTAAGATACTATCTTACTCCTGTCAGAATGGCTTAAAAAAAAAAAACAAACAGAAAAACAGAAAAACAAAACAAAACAAAAAAAAAAAAACTCCACCAACGCCAGTTTATGCTGGAGAGGATGTGGAGAAAGGGGCACACCCCTTCACTGCTGGTGGGAGTGCAAACTCGTACAGTCACTTTGGAAATCAATATGGCGGTTCCACAGGATAATGGTAATCTGTCTACCTCAAGATCCAGTAATTCCACTTTTAGGCACATACCCAAAAGGTGCACATTAATACAACAAGGACATTTGTTCAACTATGTTCACAGATGCATTATTTGTAATAGCCAGAACCTGCAAGCAACCTAGATGCCCCTCAACTGAAGAATGATTAGAGAAAATGTGGTATATTTACACAATGAAGTACTACTCAGCAGAAAAACAAAACAAACAAACAAACAACAACAACAAAACAAACAATGGATCCTTGAAATTCGCAGGCAAATGGATGGAACTAGAAGAAACCATCCTGAGTGAGGTAACTAAGTCTCAATAAGCCGGTATGTACTCACTCATATATGGTTTTTAGACATAGAGCAAAGGATTACCAGTCTACAATCCACACTGCCAGAGAAGCTAAGAAACAAAGAGGACCCCAAGAGAGACATACATGGTCCCTCACAGAAGGGGATAGGGACAAGATCTCCTTAGGAAATTGGGAGCAGGTGGAGTGGGAGAAGTTAGGAGAAAAAGATGGAGAGAAGGGGAGGGGAGAGGAGAACATGAGGGAGCAGGAAAATTTGAGTCGGGGAAAAATAGAAAAGAACAAGAAAAGACATACCATAATAGAGGGAGCCATTATAGGTTTAAAGAGAAATTTCACACTGTGGAAATGTCCAGAGATCTACAAGAATGACCCCAACTAACAATCTAAGCAATAATGGAGAGGCTACCTTAAACACCCTTCTCCGTTAATGAGATTGATGACTACCTTATATGCTATCCTACAGCCTTCATCCAGTAGCTGATGGAAGCAGAAACAGACAGCCACAGCTAAACAGTGAGCTGAACTCCTGAAATCCAGCTGCAGAGAGGGAGGAGTGATAAGCAAAGGAGTCAAGACTGGGCTGGAGAAACCCAAAGAAACAGCTGGGATGTGGGTTGTTGGGAGCAACAGGGTAGGATGAGAGGGTGTGGGAACTTGGACTGATATGTAAAACAAGCTTGTTTCAAATTTAAATAATAAAAATATGTATAATAAGTCAAGGATGATCTTTACTTCAAGATGTATATATTTTATATTCTATACTCAAAGCTGTTTCTAAGCAAGAAAAGATGTACAGCTCCTCTGGCTTAAAGTATCTTCTGGAAGGGGTGAGAAGTGAGGGCTGCATGTGGTTATGCAGAGAGATACAGGATTCCCTTTTGAGCTGGACAGTAGTGATTGGCTAGTGGGGAAAGACTCCTGGGGAGTGACATATGAGATTGACCTCTGGTCTTTATATGAACACACACACACACCAGCAACAACACAAGAATACATTGTATCTCAAGTTCTTTGAGTTCAATCTACCTATGTAGCAGTGGTCTGTGCATTAGTGACCACCTGGCCAAGCTGGTTCAAATGTATGCACTGCATATTGAGACATTCTGTGTCTGGGTTTACAATTGAAAGGTATATGCTTGGTTCACTGGGAAAAAAATAAGCTATACTTCACTCTTAAAAAAGGAGTTAGACAGCCAGATGGTAGTGGTGCATGCCTTTAATCCCAGAACCCAGGAGACAGAGGCATGTAGATCTCTGTGAGGTTGAGGCCAGTATGGTCTACAAAGCTACACAGAGAAACCCCTGTCTCAAAACAGTAAAAAGTAAAAAAAAAAAAAAAAAAAAAAAAAAAAAAAATTGTCTCCAGTCTTCAATGAGCCCAAGATAGTGAAGTCTGAGGAAAGGCCTAACTAGTTAGGATATGCAACCTGTGGTTGGAGTACTAATTATGGGAAAGAAAGGCTCAAGATTCAATTAACATCATCTAGTATCTTAATATACCACATCATATTCATATATTATTCACTTCATCATACAACAACTCAATGGGCCAGATACTCATCTTAGTCTTACTTTACAGATGGGAATTGGAAGTCTGAAGTAGTTAATGACTTATCGAAGGTCACACAGAACTTAGAGGTGGTAGGAATGTGACTAAATCTAGGCAATTTGGTTCCAGACCTAAGGTGCTATGATAGGAACGTCATAATATGCTGAATGAGAACCAGATGAGGAACTTAAGAATGTCCCACCTGATGCCCCCGTTATGTCCATAGCCTTTAAATTCCTTGCTTTTATAATGGTGATGGTCAGCCTGCCAGCCGTTGGAAGATAGCAGAGTGAAAACATAAGCTCTCCCAGATCCACATTGTCCTGTTGAGAAAGCACAGACAGAAGCATTAGAAAGTGTCCTCAGCCCATGTGCAGGCAGCAGGAGAGCGGTGTTAGAAAGGACACCCTGCTCCTCTTCTTCAGCTTATGAGGTCCTAATGGCATACAGAAACTCCATCCCTGCACTGGATACCTCAATATTGACGGAAGCACAATTCATATGGTAGAGCTGAAGAGGCTGTCCACAAGAAGTCACCACACACCCAGCCCACATGTACAATCTTACACATATCCCAGAGTCCAGAATGCAGCAGTAGAGTGTCCCTCCCTGTTGCTCTACTCACATGGCTGTTGCAATCCAGACAGCTCTCAGCACAAAGTCATGCGAAGGGGAGCCTAGCAGGGCTGTTCACCCCAGCAGAGCTCAGAGACTCTGCCTGCAACCTGCTCAGCTTCCTGCGGTCTTTCCAGCAGAGCCCATATTCTTGCCCCTCTACACAGAGCAGTCAAATGAGCCACACTTTACCCACACACTCAGGCATAACCCAGTCCCCCCACACTTTACACTGCCACATGTATTCTAGTAGTGCAAACCACCTCTATAGATCAGTAGCATGTGGTTCCATCAGATCATGGAATCTTCTAGCTCCTAATTAACTTTGGACAAGGATACTGCATGTATATGGTAGTGGCAGCCTCTGACCTCATGTTCCCACATAACTTGACACACTGGGACACAAACCTAGTCTTGCACAATACCCACGCAGGGAGAAAAGTTCAGAACCCAGACTTTAGGGAGCTCTGATGTCTGCTTCTCAAGGTCCCACTTAGTCATATCCCATTTTGAGTATATCTCAAGGAGCTCCATTGCCTCTACTGGGATCCTGGGGAAGATATCTCCTTGGGCAATGCACAGCCAATCCAAATAGGTCAGAATGAATCTCTGCCCTGCTCCCTCTCCCTTTTAAAGCCTGGGAGAGTGTAACTAGGAAGAGGGAAAAAAAAGCCAGCTCATTTAGTTTCAATTTCTATGAGACACCTGAGGTTATGAATCTGGGTGCCCGTGTCTAATTAATACGGTTTCATACTGACAATGCTCTGGGGACTCGGATTCTGGCCCTCAACACTCACAGCCTCCCCTCCCCTTCTGGATTCTTGGATGATGCTTCTATTTTTAGAAGCACAGATTCAGCTTTGGAAAGTCACCTTGCCAACCTCCTGCCTTGACTGCTTCCACAGGAGGAGGAGGAGGTAAAGGATCTGTTTGGTAGCTAAGGCAGATGGATAGGTCTGTGTCTTCAAGCATCGCCTGGCTCATGTAAATAAATCACCCCACCTTGCAGCCCAAGTTGTCCTGGTTTCTAGAGCCTTGACCTCAGGGGACTGGGTAGCCAGACCTTTTCCTGTGGGGAGAGGCTGGGAGGCATTACACAGGAGTGAGGTTTCACAGACAGTAGGTTCTTTCTTGTTGCTGTGTTCTCTTCTGCAGGAGCCCAGCCTCCTCTTTGCTTGTCATAACCAAGTCCACTCCTGTGTCCTTGGTTTCTAGTCTCCCTTTCCATGGCACCTTGCTTTCTTCTCCTACCCCCATCTTAACCACAGAATCCTAATTTGAAAAAGTAATTCTAGAATTGGCCAAAATCATGCCCATAAAGGCTCCATAGTCAATTCTTTCAGTATACATTTTCTGGGAGCTCACACTGTGTATGTACCTCACTCTGAAAGATCTGCAATGTGAAACACATTCATTCTACTTTTGTCTCTCCAGGAACACAGTTAAATGTGAAGTGTCAGATTCCTTCTGTACTACTCTGTACTAAGTATGTGATGGTATTTCCCACCTACTATGAGTCATAAATATTTCTATTTATGGATAGAAATGAGACTGTGTACTCATGATTTAAAGGAAAAATAAAACAACTAAATTCTAAGACTAAAATCCATAATTGTATCTTTAAAAACACACAAGTTAAACAAATAATTATCAAAGTAAATTCTTTTGTATTTTCTTCATTTATTTACATACCAATTGCAGTTTCCTCTCCTCTCCTCCCATTCCCTCCCCCATCTCCCTTATACTCTCCCCACTTGCATTCCTCCTCAGTGTCCAGAAAGGGGCAGGCCTCCCATAGGAGTCAACAAAGCACGGCCAAAGAGAACATTCTTGACCCTTAAGTGATTTAAAAAGAAATTGTGTGTGTGTGTGTGGGGGGGAGGGTGCGACTCAGTTGGTGTAGCACTTGCCCAGCATGCAACAAATAAACCAGGGGCAGTGTCATACTATCAGCACTTGGGAAGTAGAGGCAGGAGGATCAGAAGTTCAAGGTTTTCCTTGGCTACATCAAAGTTCAAAGGCAGACTGGGCTACACGAGACTGTGAAGAAAGAAAGGAAGAAAGAAAGAAAGAAAGAGGAAAGGAATGAAAGAAATCCTGTAAACATTTTCTAAAATTTTATTTATAGAAGTATTGATCTATAAAATAATAAAATAAAATGATGCTGGAGTGATCATGGGTAAGAGAGCATACTCTCACAACCTCCTGTGACGTCTGCTCCAGAGGAACTGATGCTACTGGCACCTGCATTCATGTGTACATACTGACATGTTTGCACAACACAGAAAATTTAAAGTAAGTATTAAAAAGTAAAATGATAGTAAAGCTTGAATGTTGAAAGACTTAAGTAAAGCAATAACATATCCTATATACACAGCCTAAAGCCACTCTTCCACAGAGTAACACTATAAACAATCATGAGGGCATTCATTCACTCATTCATTCATTTACTTATTCTTTTATTTTTTATAATTTATTTATTTAATTTTACACATGTGTTTTGACTGTATGTATGAGCACCATGTGTCTAGTGTCCACAGAAATCAGAAGAAAAGTAGCAGACTCCTAGAACTAGAATTACAGGTCCCAGGTAGGTGCTGGTAACTGAATGTAGGTCCTCTCTAAGAGCACATGTGCTGGTAACCATTGGGCTATCTTTCTATCCCCTCATTTTCTTAGTCTTAGAATATCTTTTTTGGCTGTAAGACTCCTAGAGTCTTGGGGATGCATCTGCAATAGTAACTCAGAGCCCTAATCCCTTGAGGACCCATGAGCTTCCCAGGCAGTGGAGCAGGATACCCTGGCATCTGATGGTAATGTTGCTTTCTCATCATCACCTGATATAGGTTGGGGATCAATATCCTGTGGACCTCTTTGTCCTTGTATCAGATTTCCCAATCAAAAATGAATTTGCTCCTCAGAAGATATTTGACATAATCTAGAGTGACTTCTGATTGTCACTTTCAGGCCTGGGATGTGTTACTGACATTTAATAGACAGACAGACAGAATCCAGGTACACTGCAAAAACATTACACAGGTAAGCCACAGTTATGTAGTCCAAAATGTGCCAGCATTGAGAAAACAGTGTGTATAGGAGTGTGGAGGTACTTAGTAAATTTTCTGGAATGCTGAGTAGAATCAAATATAAAGAAATAATAGCATGTCCGCCTTCTATTTCATCCAGACAGAATCAGAATGCAGAAGTATCACTGATATTGAGGACACAAGTGCAAGGGAAATGCCATGCAGAGAAATGCCTCACTGGCTCCTGCTTGAAGGGGCTAAGTTCAGCACTGTCAGCAAGGTACACTGGGAAACTCTCAGAAGTGTGTGTGAGTTCTTGGACTGCCAACTTTAGTAGTCCATGTTAGTTGTATTTTCTGGCTAGCTAGTGCACTTTTATATTCTATCCCACTCTGTGATATCCTAGGAGGGTGCTGCTGGAAACTATGCAAACCACAATATTATTTCACTACCCTGTGCTTTGTTGGGACAAGGGATGGGTACATAACCCAAGTGGGTTGCTAGAGTCATCCCTAGGATTGATAACTAAAAGTTTAAAAGAAATCTCATTTTACTGATGTTACTCACTAGAAGAGAGACAACTTGAATTGTGTGGTTTTTTTCATGATGTATAGAAAAAGTAGAATGACTGCACTTTAAGTTGACTTATATATGTTAAGGATGTGTAATGCATAACCCCAAAGAAAGAACTAAAATAATACAAGGAGTTTGTGGCTAAAACAGTAAAAACATGAAATAATACAGGTGTGTGAAAACACTTCATAATCAAAAAAGGGCAGGTAAACATTGGGAGGGGACAGGGTCAGAGAGAATAATCTAATAGAAATAAAAAGTAAATTATATGATAAATTTAAACAAAACTATGTCAATAATGATTTAAAAATAAATGATCTAAATCTTTGTATTTAAAAATCCCTGAAGCTTGGCCATACAATGTAGCAGATAGAACCTCGGTTAAAGCCTTGACTGTCCACTTAACCTTAGATAAGCAATGTCATTTATTAGTTAAGTCTTCTCAGAGTTCTCCTTTCAGAGATTAATATCTAAACATGGGCCATGTGGTAGTGGTGAAGCCTTTAATGCTAGCACTCCAGAGGCAGAGGCAGCATTAAGGCCAGTATGGTCTTTAGGGGTATACAGAGAAACCCTGTCTGGAAAAACCAAAATCCTTGCCTGCCTGCCTGCCTGCCTGCCTGCCTGCCTGCCTGCCTGCCTGCCTGCCTGTCTGTCTATCTATGGGGTTGATGCTTATAAGTCAAATAACACATAAGAGCTGTGGTGATAGTTCAGGCAGTATAGTCCTTGCCTTGCAAGCATGAGGAGCAGAGATTAATCATCAGAGCACACGTGAAAAGCATGGTGTGCTGGCACAACTCTAACCCCAGCACTGGGGAAACAGAGACAAGGCAGATGCTTGAGGCTTGCTGTCCAGGTAGCTGAGCTCCAGGCCAATGAGCCACAAAGCTGTGGAACTTCTGGTCTCCTGTCTATTCTTCCGCCCAGCATCATTTTCCTCAGTGTGACTGACTCACTGAGAAACCCTGTTTTTAAAGCACCCCTTTCAAAAATAAAAACCTTGTAAGAAACAGCATCAAGTGCAATCCTAGTTGTGAGATTCCTCCTAGTTGTCCTTGATCTTCACCCATAACAATTACATCAAAGGTCCACACCAGGTCTTTTTG